AGTGAATCTTGACAAAAAGGCTGAAGCTACATAGCTCTGAAAAGTGACCAATAGCGTTAGTCATCTATAGTGAGCTATATTCCTCTCAAATCACTAAGTTTTGTATGAAACCTTTAGGAAATGACGGGTTATCCAATGTGTCGAATGTTTTTGTGTAACGGTGGGTGAGCTATATGTTCAGCTGCAGAATATCCAAGACTGTGCTATCGGGGATGGAAGCATGTCACTCACGGTGGACTGATATTCAACAGGGACGAGGCACTCCGCAAGGATTCCTCGCGTTGGCTGCTCGTCTTTAGCCTTTAAATAGGGATAGCTTTGGTGATAAATACATGGAGGAAAACCTGGATGGAGGGGAATATATTCCGTTTTACTGACCAGGAGTGTCAATATTACTTTTTTTTGGTTTCGATCGTGATGCAGAAACCGTACATCATGAAGGAGATATCGATAAGTCGCAACTGTATTAAAAGCACGTACATACAGCCACCGGACGTAGAAAGCTTACCATTTGCCCAGCAACAACAAGCTAATCAAGCTCCAGCAATATTTGACTAAGGCAAAACCGGATGATTCAAAACAGGAGCTTGTCTTCACTTTACCGGTATACTCCAGGGGATGGGATGCCTTACCATTCATAACTGTAGATGTGACGCCTTTGATTCGATATCCCAGCTCGAACAGTTGAAATACTATGATTGTCATATCAGTTGAAGCTTATTGATAACTTATTCGGATTGATTCTTCAATCGGTCGTACAGCTCTACCACATGAACTTGACCTCGTAAGTGTCCAGCGGCGTGATAACGTTGACTCGAACTCAAGAAATATTTATAGTCAGTGTTCTATCTCAAATATATATATACTCGAGCATTACTTACCAACGAGAAGAAATAGTTGCATATTTCCCAGGCTTGTCCCTGCCACCTATCCAAGGCCAGGAGTTGTTGTAGTTGGTAGCTAGATTAGTGGCAATAACCCAGGCCCTTCCCAACCTCCCATCCGAAGCCTGGATTTATAGAGTATATACTTATATTTGAAAGGTGTTGTGGTCACCACTGGATGTCTTTACCACCCAATCAAGTCTAGGTCAATAGTCGATAATCGAAAGTTATAATCAAGAGAATTAAGAGATCGGTTTAGTTGAATGTCGTTCCCTAGCCCATCCCAACCGTCCCCCAATGCCTGGCGATCCCTGGCATCTACTGAAGGGCGGATTGAGATTAGCATCTAAGATTAATAGGATAGCCCCGGCCCTCCTTATCCTGCCCAGCCGAAACCTGCGATATAGAGATATACATACTTGATCTTGTCCCTTACCCATCCATATACCTAACATGGGCCGGGTCAATAGTGATAATGGCGACAGACCATTAATGAAGTCCGTTTAGTGAATTGTCGATCACCACGATAACGTGCGAGCTCGTCTTCGGAGACCCATTTGTCAATCAGCCTCACAACCAGGATCACATACACATTTCGGCGTCTGGAGAAGCGGGAAAGTTGATATTGCAGATTCTTTTTCAGGATGTGGCGCATGGAGGGAGGTGGGGGCGTCAAGTCTGCGGGACCTCCTTAGGGCTGTGGGTTAGTTCCTGCTTGTCGTCTTGGATGTCCCCAACTGACAGGGGATAGAGTCTTCAGTGGAGGCGTTCTCCTAGATCTGGTCAGCCTGTTGCGGAGAATGTTAGATCGAGTTCATCATTGGTGGATTGGAGATAACTATGTCAAAGACTGAGATCCTGGGACAGCGTGGAGCGGGGTGCCCATCCGGAATCTCCCTGGCTCATGCTCTTCCACAACCTTGCGCACTTTGCCTACCCTGTGGCTGGAGCGTGGTTGTCAGTGTCATTTCATTCACGCCTATTGCAGTGATAACTGTTATGGTTAGGGAAACAACCAGGGTGTTTCCATGGGGATTGCCAAACAGGAACGGCATAGTAGGTACCTCCAGGCTACCCTCAGTGAATGGCCACATCTAGGTCTCCATGGAAACTTCAGGATGCGCCTGCCTTTGGTATGACTGGTTAGGGTCATGATGTCCCAAGCAGTTTCATAGAAGTCAAGATTGCCATGCTCGGTAGTATGCTTTTTATTTGATACGGCAAGTGCGTGTCGACAAAGGAATATGCTCTGCTACATCGGTACGACGTTCATACTTGATATCAGCCCTACTTGGCATATTTCAAGTAGCGATATGTATTTTACGGTACTACTAGTAGTAGCCATTGAATGTATGCAAATGCGGGATCTAACGAAGCCAGGGTTAGTTGCAGACGGGGCAATATCAAGTGGATATACCACGACATGGCCGAGCAGTGAGTTCAATATAGAAGACTGGATCAGGCTTTCCCATCTCATCACCTCTCGTTGGTAATGCTCGGCGAAGGCACCCTCCCAGCACCTTCCTTACTGCAATCCAAGTAAACAATACCTTGGGAAGTGGTTGCAGTTGCAGTTGCCATTCGGTAGCAGTGCTCTCTCCCTTGGCCCATCTCGCTTTTCCTTCTTTCTCTTCCTCTTCCTCTCTTCTTTTCCTCTCCAACACCTCATGGTCGTTTGATGCTAGTTTCCTGCTATTTGCACTATACGCTTGTCACTCTACCTTTGGTGTTTTACTTACGCTTAGCGGCGACTTTTTTTGATCCCCCGATTTTCTCCTTTTTCTCGCCTCTCCTCATCTACCTTCTTTTCCGTTTTTTTGACCAGGTTTGACAGATGGCTCGCCTCTGCATCCCTGGGTTTATCTTCCGCCGCGACAGGCCCACCGCACGGTTCACGAAACAACCAGTCTTTCGTTCATTCCCTCGAACTGTCGCCTACCGTGCCAACCCTCCTGTCTCGCCCCGCTCCTTTTTGCCGGTCTCCTCGAAGGCCGGCGTCCACTCCTTTTCTGCCGTTTCGACCTCGTCGACCGGTGACCGTTCCTTTTCTCAGATGAGCCAGGGTTCTCATCTCCCGGTTCGCTCGGTAAGAGCACCAGCCACTCCTTCTACTACTGCCCCAGCTTCCACTGGGGTGGTGGCTGCGCTAAAGGCCCTCTCTTCCCGCCTCGCGGAAAGAAGGGCATCTCGACAGGCCCGACTTCGACCCTGGGCTCAGCCCAGCTCGACCAGTCGCAACTCGTCCTCCGGACACCCGTCGACGCATGCCCACCGCAAGCCAGCGCCCACCAAGTCCGCCATCCGCAAGCCGACCAAGCCGGTCAACCCAGCGGGAGACAAGGTGACCCGTACTCAAAGGACGATCGCACGAATCGACGACGCCCTTGCCAAGCTTGTTCCTACAAGCGGCCGCAAGGTCAAGCCGGTGAAGCGCGTTCGTTTCGGCGAGACCACGGTGATCCCTGTCGAGCGCTGGATTGTCCGGTCCGAACACTCCTTTATCTTTCCGTCCTGGTTCGGTAACCTCCAAGGCTGGAGGGTAGTCGCTCTTTCGGAACCGAACGACGACGGCGAAACCGAGAAATACGTCTCGATGTGGGGCTCCGATCATTACGACATGCTCTACACCCACGCTCATTCCGAAACCCCTTGTAGCCGGCAGGGGTGCGTTTGGGATCGCATGAAGCATATTATGTCTCAGCATCCCAAATGGACTCCTGCTATGGTCATCAAGGGGTTCAACGTCTACCGAGAGAATATGAGGCGGCGTGGAAAGTTCTACCTGTGAGCTTTCCCTCCTAACTCCAGTCTTTCCTTTAAGCACCTTTTCTCTCGCCCACGTTCCTTACCCTGACATACCATGTCATCCACTCTTTTGCCTTTTTCTTTTGTCTCCATTGATTGGCTGGCTCTGGCCTTCCTTGAAGGCCATCCAGATGCTGCTAATAATTCACAGATGTTGGTGTAATGTCCTGCTGTGATATTGGTGGCGCAATTGCATCCCCCGATAGGTACGTCCGATGCCTTCTATCTATGGGGATTAGGGACTGACAAAAGTAGAGGACGCCCTAGGTTTAAGGGTTCCCTACAAACAGGGGTAATGACGCACACCCGTACGCGGGGCTTAAGACGTACACCCTTGCCAGGAGCATCAACCACTTCCAACGAACGAGGCCGGCGCCGACGACGACCGACCGACTGACTGACCAGCCAGCAATATAAAGGCTTGGTGATTGAATAAGAAAAGATAAGTACTGCCGTCTTCAATCAGTATTGGCTCTGACTAACCGCGTGTCGATTCAGATGTGCTCCGTGTCTTTGCCGAAGACACGGGGTACGCACAAGAGGACGAACAACGAAAAGATAAGTACCGCCGTCCTCACTCAGTGTGGGCTCTGACTAACCGCTTATCGTTCCAGGTGTGCCCCATGTCTTCGGCCAAGACACGGGGTCGGGTGGATTTGGAGGGAAGAGTTGGATAAGGAGGGCGGAGTGGTAGCGGTGGTCTATGCCTTATGGGGTAAGTCAGCCCTACTAAAGAAATCTTAACTTTAACCTTAGGAGCTGACGGGAAGAAACAGGGACCACCAGCGGGCGGTGGACTTGGGGACGGGCGTGGGGACGGGTGTGGGGACTGGGTTGGGTGGATGGGGGGTTTTGACTGTTCCATCTTCGGATGGTTCAGGTTTGACTGTTCAATCTTCGGATTGTTCAGGTTTTGACTGTTTCATATCTTCGGATTGAACAGGTTTTCTTTTGTTTTTCCTTTGTTTTCTTGTCTGCATTAGCAGCATCACATCTTCTTGTCATATAATCAACTCTGACACTTAGGAGCGGGTGGGCGGGCCAATTCACGTTTTTGCTTTTTTTTTTAAGCAAAATATCAATGCTTACTTTCGTAGATTTGGGCACGTAGCTGGCAATAGATTTAGCTGTAGTTGGACAAAAGCACTATCTCTTTCTAACCACCGAGGACACAAGATACTAACAGTAACATTAAACACGAAACAGGAAAAGGAAAACGCAGTTCAAGTCATCAGCGAATTCCATAAATCAGAAGCTTTCTCCCCCTTCAACCCACTGTTACTAACTTGCCCCACCGCCGAATAGCACCGATTAACTGTCGCCTGCGGAGCATTGCACGGACTCCGAAGCCGACTACAAACAGAATTTAACAAGGTATTGATAGCCGTCGACGACCCATGCGAAAAATCATCCTGATTATTCGTAACCCACGAGTATTCCGTCCGTCCATCGAGTCCATCCGCCCACCGGATAGTGGGATCCGAGCATGTCCCGTAGTCGGGACCGTCACCGCTGCCTGCACCCTTGGTCGTAGTAGCGGTAGCGGTAGCAGTAGTGGCTGTGGCAGTCTCAGGGGATGTAACTGTAATCGTGATAGTTTCGGTATCCTTTACTATCTGCTTGCTGGTGATAACGTCGGTTACGGTTGACGTGAGTGTTTCGGTTACAGTTGCAGTTTTGGCCGGCCCTTCAGTAGTGATGGTGACTGTGTTTGTGGGACCGGCAATGGTGGTTGTTGGACTATATACGAAATGTGGGTGTTAGCCTCAATGAATGTATCTCAGGCTCTCCCCCCTTGCTGTACATATACTTGGGACTTACCCAGCGAGGTGTTCGGTGGATACCGCTGTCACGGTCACCGTCTCTGGAGTGCATGTCTCGCCATTGTCCCAGTGATCATGTCCTCTGTGTTTAGCACCATCGGCTCCGCAAGCCCCATTTCGGCAAAGAGACCCATCCTCTGCTGGAGCGGGACGGCCCACTGCGCCCGGCACGATCTGGAGGAGAACGGGGAGAGCAAGAAGAATAGTACCCTGGTAGAGCATTTTGCAGGAGTAGTGTTAACAGATGGAGACTAGTATGGTATGGTACATGAAACTGGGGATCTGAGACAAGATGTTGCAAAGGTGGGGATTTATATGGCACTTGGTTTCTATAGTTTACGGAAACGAAGGAGGTTGGGTACGGTAAGTATACGCTTGCAGGATTTACTTTTGGACATTGTTGACCTTGGTATGATTATGATCTATATTCGGTGTAGGTATATAGCTCTATCATACTTTTGGTTGTTGTTCCTGGAATCCTGGGAGTATTGGTCTCATAGGTAAGGGTAGAATACCTAACGCCTACTTGGCAGATGTCCTTTGGATAAGCATTACACTTTCCGGGAGGCGGAAACGGACCCAAATATTTGGTCCCCCCCCCGGAAATAACTAGGAGTCCCTGGTTTCGGAATCAGCTCCATCGTTCAAGTTGTTGCTAGGGCTGATGACGGCGCCCCACTTCACATTCCTGAGGCATCCTGGACGGTTGCGGACAGGTCTATCATACACGACATACCATCGTGCAAAGCAGTGATGACTACTCAGTTGAATTGCCAATGTCTCATTTGACTAATATGGCTGCTTTGGTTGTGGACAATGTTTGGCTGCACTTAAGCTAGGTAACGCTCTTCTCTTGTTAGGCATTAATATTCTTTGTAGACTGTACACACCCTATGACTTCGTCCCATTGTTGATCCAAGCTAGAATCGAGTATGCGTAGGCTTTGGTAGAAGGGCTATGCTACATGATCAGTGTGTCACAGTTTCAAGGAACCGAAATTCAGCAAGTAGATCCATAGTACTTTTTCTCTCTGTGGGTCAACCCACACCAAAGCCTGTGGAAACGTCAATGTGGACCTCCACGTTCAAAGCAGTCCAATGAAGTTGACATATAGGCATAGCCGGGGTGCTCAGTGTCTGCACTTTTCAGGTGCTCGAGGATGCTCGCTCATATATGCCATTTTCACCTCTATATCATTCTGCTCTCACGATTTTGAGGCGTTGAAATTTGTCATCCTTGAATACGAGATGGTAGCGAGGCATTTTAGAGCTGGTGACTGGTTTGTAAAGGGGTAGAAGGGTACCTATACTGTTGACTGCGTAGAAGCCACGCTCAGCACCTCTTGTTTGCCGTTATAAACCTGGGTGAAACCCATCAGAACGATAAGCGTCCGAGCCTTCTTCTACCTTATGACACATTCTTGTCATGAGAGGAAAACAGCGTCCGATGAAGAATCTGTAGGCGCGTTAAGGCAAGAAACGCATTGAGAAAATAGAAGTGGAAATGGATATTGGAAAATCGAGGCGACGAGAGGCGTTCACAAGTTACCTCGTTTCAAGGGTTAATGGTGTCAATGAATTGCACTTCGCCGTTTCTGATGTAGTCACCGTCCTGTAGCAGGCAATTAAGCCGTCTTATCAATTCCATCAGTATAGTTCAGTGTTTTGAGAGCACATACACTGAGCTGTTCTTCTAAGTGAAAAGCTACCGCCTATAGAGTAAAGGTACGTGATTGAAACCGAACGCTTACTCGGAGCTCCCTCGTGGAACAAAGGAGACACAGATGCGAAAGTTGACCTGAGTAGATTATGAAAAAGGCAGACCAAGTTACAAAGATAAGACGATTCTCGCGGCCATATAACCCATACAACAGTAGAACGCCCGAAAACACCGGCCGATGTCAAGAGAACATATGCAAAGGTAATGGAGTTGTGTACAGTAAGTACCGGAAACACAGGATGATCGGCATCCATGAGAATCAACACAGATAATATACCAACATGCTAGCAGCCAAGAGTCTATAAGTAGAAGAACAGGTTGTGACCCGAAGATGCGCGCACTAAAGGAAATCGATAGACAAAAGTAGTGAGGGTATGTGACGTCAACTAGAGAGAAAATGAATCAATCGTTGATACTTAGCAACCACAAATGACATCATCCCATCGAATAACAGTCGCTAAACTGTGTGTAGGAGGGGAGAACGTTGCATGCTTCGACATTCAATAATTACGGTGGTGTTGGGGTCTGTCGGATTTCTGGCTGATCGGGGCGACGCTTCTCGTGAGGCCGCATATACATCGCATCCGATGGAGATTCTACCCCCGTCGATGAGCCGAATGGACGAGGTACCTCAGTTTGAGATACTATCTGCTGCTGTTGCTGTTGTTGAGCAACAATCTCCCGTGCATAAAATTCGACAAGCATGGTTCCATATGCTTCCAATTCTTCAACTGGTATCGAGAGTCGGAAATCATTTAATAGTAAGAATTGAAGCTCGAGGTGGTTCAGCTCAACCAGTGGAAGACCTCCCACCTAGAATGAATTAGCTCTGATAGGAAAGGGACTTCAGAAGACAACAAAATACCTTCGCGTATCGAGAATTAGTATAAAAAACATCGGAAAAGAATTTACTGGCACAGGTCACGCCCGCGATGACCAGCCGGTGAATGTTAAAACTATCGACAACAAAAAATTGGGAAAGGTAGTCGTCTTCCTCCTGGGGGTGCAAAGACGGTGATATGGAAGATGGACTGGCTGGGTCTTGTGCTCTCATTCCAGCAGAAGATGGGGGAGTCACCATGGGCGAAGCATGCGCAGGTTTCACTGCCGACGCCCGAGACCCTGGCCGAGAGGCAGAGTCCGCTCGGACATGTCCCCAGCGCCGCTGGAGACGTTCCAATTGGCCTTGGTTCACTAGTTCAGTCATGCGATCAAAATACACTAGTAGGCTTAGGAAGACCTCATAAGTAGTTGGACAGTACTTATGAATGCGAGTTAGATAGCTGAGAATGCTGATGCTCGGTACATTCTTGCCATGGAATGCAAGCACACTCGTGGCTTGTGGGCTAAGGCTTGCTGTGCCATCAGGGGGAGGGATGTGTCGATGAATCTGCTCATGGTGTGTGTCATTGGCCGTGGTGATTTTCGTAAGAAGTCCAGCAACCATCTCAATGATATCGGTGACTGGCATAGAGCTAATCTCATACTGGCGCTCTTGGTACCACTGCCCCGGCATTCGATCCCTCTGCGACTGGGCCAAGAACTCTTCGCTGGCAAAGCTCTGGATATGGGACAGATCACGGACCTTGATGCGACTCGGGGAGTTCGCTTCTGACCCACCCAGCGACCGCAGAGACTGGTGTGTCGGCTTCAGCGAGGTGAAGCAGGAGATGAGTGACTCTCCCGGTGAGAACCGGTGATCGGCGCTGCAGTAGTCTGGTTGGTACTCACATGTTGAGAGCGATGGAACGCGGGGTAAGTGGAAGAGTCGGGATAAGGCACATGGGTGGAACTCATTGAGGGAGGCTGGGTGTATGTCGATCCCGGCGTGGCTGAAGAATCTCGCGTGGACGGTTGAGAGGGTGTGTGAGATGACCGGTTGATATAGGCAGGCACATCATGCGAAGAGTGGGAGTGCAGACGAGCAGAGCCGGCGGCGGATGCTGATGGCGGGGCTGTGGAGGAAGTGGGGGTGGTAGTGGTCGACGTGGACCTGGAGCTGCCGGTGTCCAAGTGAGACGATGGGTGAGAAGTTTGATGGGATGAAGGTCGATAGACGGATTCCGAGGGAGTGATGGCGCCTCCCAGCATGGTGTAGGAGCTGTCAATGTGATCCGACCGCGGAAGGTTGAGGAGGACTGATCCCATGTCAAGGCGTCTGGGCGACGGCTAAAACACGCGGTGGTCTATGCTAAAAGCCAAGGGCCGAGAAGCTGCAGAAGTCAGCGACATGAGCCCGCTGAAGCGACATACGAGGTGAGGGGTCATTGAGACCGACAGATCGGACAGGGGGGGATCATTCAGAGGGATTTTAGGTGAATGGTTGATTTAATAGGAAAAGGGAAATGGATAAACAAGGAAAAAGAAGCGAAGAAATCAAGTTATTGTACAGCAGGAAGAAAGGGCGGGTGAGGGATCAGATACACTTAATTGATGGGTCGATTTGGTTATCGAAGAAGAAATGAATTGAGCCTAGGTCAATATCAGGTGAGAGAGCACTGCACTTAGTGAACCCAACCCAGGCTGGCAGCGGGAAGGGAATCACAGCCGATATTCAAAGACTGGGAACTCCATTGCGCTCGATCAATGAGAGAGGGGGGATGAACTCCGAATTGAATTGAATTGAATTGAATAAAAAGCAAATTAAAAAGAGCCCCCAAATCAACAGGTAGAGGAACAACTGGGGAGAGCGAGGAGGGGGGGTCCTGTGGTTGAGGGAGAGTAATGCGTGGCGAAAGGAAGAGGTGATCAAGTCCAGAATGAGAAGATCGGAGGTGCAATCGATCAGTGACTTCAAAGGGCCCACCGGGCAAGCAGCACTCGACCACAACCACTCATGCAGTTTCTATTTAATCCCTGAACTTGCTTCCAAATTTAAAAATAACCACTGACCTTTCAGCGTCGTCATTCCTCCTGACCGATAATATAAAAAAACATATTCTTTATTCTTAAAGAATAGTCTCTGACCACTGGTCTCATCAAATGTAGGTACGTACTAGTATCACTTCAAGGAAAGGGTGGAACCTTTCTCAGCGGGTGGTCGACCCTTCCGACAAAGTCTAAGGGAGTACTCCGTAGTTAGAATTCAGTTCTAGCCCAAGTGTACTATTACTTGCTACTACTAGTATGTACTACTACTAGTACTTACTGACAACGGCCCGGATCCTGATCGTCGACTGGATAGTCTCGATGCATAGACCAATGACGAGTCTCCGGACGCGCAGGTGTGTGGATGAGCGAAGAACGATTGGCGGTGACTTTGTGTCATAGTGCTCGACTCCTTGAATTCTATCCCTCCTATTGCTCCAACCCAATTAATATTGATATCATCTATGGATTGACCCTCTTCTCCGGTTTTCTCCTCCCCCCCCCCCGACATTAATGTTTCCACCGAGCCATGTTTTAGGAAAATGCTTCCATCTCTTACTTTTTGGATGATGGCAAGATTACTATAACAATTCAAGGAGAAACAAAAAAAAAAAAACGAACTTAATGATTAAACATAAAGCAGAATTGAACTGCAGGGAAGAGGTTTCAGCATATATCACTGCGAGAGAACCAATGTCATAAACTTAAAAATGCTACTGTTCAGCGGCTAGAGGTCATTGATCCGCTCGACTTGACATTTGTGGATTTGGCTTCCACAGCTGGTACTCTAATGCCCTTACACAAGTTCACAATGGTTCCTCTATTATGCTACTCAGATGAGGGGGTTCACAGCTGATCACAGCTCAATAGAAAGAAAAGTCGAACAGATCATCATTCAATACGATTATATCCATCAGTTGGTGATACCTGGCCCGGCGTAGTCCGTGTCGGGTAGGTAGAGATGTCTCTGAGCTCCTTTAGCTGTCAATACGACCAGCCGAATCACACCTCCTGAGCTGCCGTCCCATTTGATAGCCTCTCGCAACGCTCCCCGAACAAAGTCAATGCCTTCTTCTTCTGTCATGTTTTCTTTCCAGTTCGCATCACAGTAACCGTAAATGTAGGTCGAACCAGATCCACCAATGGAATAAGGCTGCTTGTGTAGGGATCCGCCAAGCGGTATCGAGTATACCTGACCGCCATGTCGGGGATCGTATCCGGCGATGATGATACCAGCACTGCAGCCAGTCAGATTAGTGATGATTCTTTGCTCCGAGCACAGAGAGAGCATACGTCAGCATATCCTTGTTCTCATAGCACAGTTCCTGAAACAGCGAGGCGGCAACCTGGGTGCTGGGGGCCTCATTGTTGGTAATCGAATACATGTTGAGGTGGTAGGAGACGATATCCGCCACGGCTTGCGTATCTGCAGCAGATCCAGATCGACAGCACCAGATGGTATCATGAACCTGCGTCAATTTGTCGGTGACTCGATTGGCGATGTAAGCTCCCGTCGTTGTCCGGCTGTCGGCACCTAATATAACACCATCTTTGAAGTTGATCGCCATACTATCCCAGGTCAACACACCATCCGAAAGCATAGGGCTAGCCCTGTGAACTTACATCGAGGTACCTAGGCTGTATTGGAGGAAAAGTTAGCTAACTTGTCGGAAGGACACCATCATAGGTCGGGGTGACGACATACTTGACCTCGCCGCTCTTCAGGTGGTTCATATCAATATGAATACCATCTATCATGAATCATCAGTCACTGTACGTCCGCACCACGCTTATCTCGATGGGGACCTATCTGACCTTCACCAAGCACCCCGGTGACGCCGTGACCGACCATATTGGCTGATGGAGAAAGTATAGTGGGACTTCGTGAAAACGTCAAGCGTAGCTCGCGATAATGCACAAGCAACGGCTGGTATACGTCGACAAAATAAAACAGTGAGCTAAGGACGTATCGAAGTCGTAAAGGCTGATGGAAGGAGGAGAGATGAGGTGATAATGGAATGAATATTCCGAAGAGCTCTGACGGAGCTCAAGGCAGGCGAACGCGTTACGTTGGCAGCTGAAGCTGGTTCCGCCGGGCGGTGTGTACCAACATCGATCCTATTGGTCAGGCACTGTCTCCCCGCAAGCCTCCTGAACTTGAACTTCCCCCAGCCATGGGTTCCGGTCCGAAGAGACGCCATCATTTACCGGCTCTGGAGCTATTGAACCCCATTTCCAAAGCTCCTCCCTGAAAGCTTGGGCCCCGGGTTATTTTTTTGCCATCTCCTTACCTCTTTTAGACTTCCAAACTACGTCGTGTCTCAGTTCTATCAAATACTGCACGTCCACATCTACCCGTACTATCCTGTCCAGTATAATGTCCGAGTCTCCGCCGCCCCCACCGTCTTGGAGTATCACCAGCATGGCCAACAGTGCCGCTCAGTACCTAAGGCTACCGGTTTTGGCATCATCTGGCCTGGCAGTTGTTGCCAGCGGTCTTTTATATTTCAAACAAAAGTTAGTGCTGTCCAAATTCGTGCGCTCGTTTGGCAGTGGAGTATATTCATAAGGTGCATGAGCTAGAAGTTGACCACGTGTGCAGTGAGTTGATCTATCCTCGCAATGTTCCTACCGATGCGCGGACCAATGTACCGAAGCCCCAACAGTTTGGGGTCAAAAATTACGAAGAGCTCCAGATTCCTACCCCAGATGGAGAGTCACTACATGCCCTCTTCCTTCGTCCATCCAAGAAAGGTCTTGCCGGTGATCTTACTGTCTTGATGTTCCATGGAAATGCCGGGAATATTGGCCACCGGATCCCTATTGCAAGGGTCCTACTCGATATACTAGGTTGCAATGTGCTTATGCTGGAGTATCGAGGCTACGGGCTCTCGACCGGGGTCCCAGATGAAGCAGGGCTAAAAATCGATGCGCAAACTGGACTCGACTATATCCGACAACGAGCGGAGACTAGCAACAATAAGGTTGTAGTTTACGGTCAGAGTCTAGGTGGAGCGGTCGCCATCAATCTTGTGGCTGAGAACCAAGACAAGGATGATATTGGAGGCCTGATCCTTGAAAATACTTTTTTGAGTATTCGCAAGCTGATCCCGACGTATGTTCGCTACTAGATATGTCATTTACTCGCCTGTTCTAACTTGCATCTAGGGTTTTCCCTCCCGCCCGATACCTTGCTCGCTTTTGTCACCAATGTTGGACAAGTGAAGAGGTCTTGCCGAAGATTACTAAAGTCCCCATCCTCTTTCTTAGCGGTTTGAAGGACGAAATCGTCCCGTAGGTTTTCCTGATGAGTACCTTCATAAGGAAGCAGAACTGACATAAGACTGTGTATAGACCGTCAAATATGACTCAGCTCTTTGCTGTTTGCCAATCCGAACGCAAAGTCTGGCGCACTCTGCCGAACGGTGCCCACAATGACAGCGTTGCTGAACCAGGCTACTTCGAGCACATTCATTCCTTTATCAAGGAAGAAGTCATCGACCATGACTAATAGATGCTCCCCTGTTGCATGGACCACCTACCTTCTTAGGCCGACTTCAGTATTCAGGCTTTTGCCTGGGGCCTCTTCTACTCTACACAATTACATTTCTCCCTTACAATCTCCTAATAACCTTGGGCCTTTTACAAAAGAAAAGCGCCGGGGTCTTCCTAACGACTCAAAGGTGACTGCAGACCATGCTGTCTTGTTGCCGCAATAGATTAACGATTAATATTTTCTGTTCTGCCGAATCCTTTCCTGGCTCGCCTATACCAGGCCTTGTTCATATTTCAGCTCTGATTCTATTTCGCAGTTAGGTGCGTGATGCCCTAAGCATTGACATGTTGTATTCATACAGGTTATGTTCGGCTAAATTTATGCGCTTACGATGTTGTTTTGTCCCTGGATTCTATACGGGCGTTATATCCTATCAGCTTTGATGTTATTGGGCGGTTGGGTTAGAAGGTTGACTTTCTGACTATCTCACAATTACAAGGCCTTGTTGATGGTCTTAAGAACGCCTAGCTTTCTAATTTTTCAATATACAATGTTTCTAGACCCTGTTTCTCTGATTAATGAACTGACTATTTCATCGTGAACCTGAATTTGATCCTCTGTTCTGTTTCCTCTTTCTTCCTTTTTTCCCTTCAACCTGCGGTCAGGCTTCACGCTCAACAAACTGGTGCGGCACAGTCCTCTTCAGTATAGAGCCCTTATTACTCAATCATATGTCAGGCATGTTTTACAAAATTCCATGCTTCAAGGAACAGAGGAAGCCCCACCCCTTGGCCAAAGGCTCGCAGAGTGGGGATGACTATAATGAGTAACATGAGTGATGCCATCTATCGTACATAGTATTGATATATTCTAGGTCTATCCCAAGAACAGAAGAAATTTTGAAAAGGTTAAAAGTAATACAACGCTAGAACCAAAAGATGGACATAGTCTACAACTTCTCCGCCTCCTCCAACAACGCCTCGATCTTGAAGATATTGGTATCTCCCTTGGTGAACGAGCGCAGCAGCTCACCCTTGCGCCCACTGGCCTGGCCACCGAAATCATAGAAGCGTTGAACACAGCTAACTAACCACGTCGCGTCAGTGGAGGAAATGCCCGAGTCTGGCATGATCTGGCCATGCATGAGGACCAGACCCTTCTCATCGGCTAGGTCGAGGTGGTGCGTAATAGTCGTGTGGGGTTGGGCATAGGAGCCATGCAACTGGTACGCGGCGAGTTGCGTGAAGATGATGGTGGAGGTATGAGAGCTAGCCAAAGGTCCAGAAGTTGCTGTTGGGGCAGCCGGGTGGAACGCCCACTGAAGGAAGTGGATCTCTGCGCCGGCATTGGCAGCGTCGTCTCCTTGCTGCTCCGATTGTTCGGTCTCGGCTTGCGTGCGAGGCAAGGGGAGGACGAATTGGGGATTTTGGCGAGCGGCCGAGGAAATGCGCTGGTATGTTTCTACCGGGATGACGGCGCAGACGGAGTGAGGGTTGCTGGCATGGCGAAGACGCCAGATAGCTTCGATCTCCTTTGGTGGGAGGTCGAGGACTTTCTCGACATCGATGTAGGAGCTGAGAGGCTTGATGCCTGTGGAGGATTTGTCGGAGCCTTCAGATGCGGCTTTGGCTTGGGGAGAAGGTGGCGGGGGAGGAGGATGAACTGCGGATGTTGATGGAGAGGGAGTAGGTCTGGAGGGTTCTGGGGTGACAATGGTGGACGCTTTGCGACGGAAGTCATCGATCTTCTCTTTGTAGGCGTCTTTCAGTGAGTCAACGGATTCGTGCCCTTCTCTGTTAGGGTATGTTAGTGACGGAAAGCAGAGGCAAATTGTAAGACTGAATTATCCCGTAGAGTACTGACTGCTGAGCTTTCTGATCCAGCTTGTTTCGGTACCTGTTCAACACCAGCTTTGGATCATGATGCGTGGCGAGAAAGCGGACATCGTGCACCTGCGCCCATCGTCTTTGTTGGACTCGTATGAAAGGTGTCCTAGTATTCCGGATCAAAGGTTGAAAATTAGAAGGCCTCAGAAATGCCATTTTCCAGTCTGCAAGTATGCTTTGGTACAACCGTGAACGGAGATTTGGAAAAGTTGCGGAACACAATAGTTAGGTTAGTTGCTCCGTAGATACAAAAGGATTATCTAAGCGCAGTTCCCTATCTTAGCCTCGTTTACGGTAATGGAAACGATGATCACTCAGATATGGCATTGTACCTTGGAGAAGTATTTCTGGAAAGTGACCATACCTATCATACAATAATTTCCAAGTCTAGCTATATCAAGGACGAGAAAAGGGATTACTCTGAATGGGAATTGGCCTTCGTTCTGCCACTATCGTAGCGTCATTTTCAACTTCCGTGCTTGCGTCTGTCCACCCGTCTTCCTTCCCTGCTAGTCCGTCATGGTTTCAAGCTGAGAAGGGTTCCTGGTGAATATCTGCTTCAGCTCATATACTAACTTGCTGTTGATGGTGGAAATGTTCTATTGTAGCGAAGACTGTTTATCAGTAGTATCAGTGTGGCGCTGAAGATACGCCATCAAATAGATCTCCACATTTACATTCCTACTGGTTGCTTGGCATACATTATCCATGTGCTCAATGCAACTTCTGTCGACATGGGTTTCAATATCCACATGATGACACAGTTCTTAAATGTGAACCACTCCTGCCAACTACTGCACAATAACTGGAATTGATATTGATTCCTGCATTGAGGGCTTCCATGACTAAGCAATGCAAGTGAAACATTGTGTGTTATCTACACGTGGACTGATCTTCGGAACAAAGGATACCCTGATGCAGGGACACCGGCGTAAAACCACGATTCTCTGGCCAACTTTTCTTTTTACCACAGTCTCTCCTTTATATTAATTTTATTTATACGAATATAGCTCCGATCATTTGAACCAAGACCATTCCTGACTCGAGAAATTCTATCTCAACCTCTGTTGGAATTCCAATCCATTGACCCATACCCCCGATTGACGGTTGCTACCTCACATCAAGCTCCTCATTTCAAACATGGCGAACCGTCATATCACAAGGCGAATACTGCTTGGCGCTACGGTCTCAATCTTCCTTCTCTTTGTCTTCTTCGTCCGACCTCAAGGCCCACCGAGCCCCGCGATTCGAGCCCCTGGTCACCTAGAGAAACCGTCTCATTCAACATTGACAAAGGATGATATAGTCAAAGGCGAGGTGGTGATGCCGAAGCTGGGCAATGAGACGGCTAAGTACGCCACACACACATTGGTCTGGTGGGATCTGAATCCATACTGATTGCATGGGGAATGCTAGAGCGGAATTAGGGCGCGCTACGTGGAAGTATTTCCATACTATGCTGGCACGATATCCAGAAGATCCAACGGAGGAGCAACAAGAAACTTTGCGCTCATTCATTTATTTATTTGCGCGATTATATCCATGGTATATACCTTCCGAGTCAGAGTGCATATTCGATAACACTGACCGTAAATCAGTGGTGAATGCGCCTCGCATTTTCAAGGTCACTTGAAAAAGTATCCCCCGCAGGTGTCGTCACGCAACGCCGCATCGGGATGGGGTTGCTTTATCCACAACGAGGTCAATACCATGCTCAAAAAACCTATCTTTGACTGCAATAAGATCGGCGACTTTTACGACTGTGGCTGCGCCAAGGACGAAGAAACCGAAGACGAGAACGAGGAGCTCAAGAGTAGAAGCCATGCTGACTCCAAAGAAAGTGATGATATTGCTAATAGTCAGCGCTTGGAGATATCCAAAGAACCGTGGGTTTTCCCCCTTGCTTTGCCCCACACCTCTCTATCACGTTAGAGACTGACAACAGATTCAGAACTACACGGGGTTGAATCTTTTGCGGTGTTTCTCGAAATTTTGTTCTCGAAACTAATTCCTAGGCATTATGTTGTAAACTACTCCGATCATACTTCACCTACGCGGGTTCGTTGGGAGTATACTGGAGTCAGATAATACACAGTACATATATATCATCCGAATAGTGGATTGAATCCTAAAGATGCACTCTAGTGCCCTGCTGAGGGGAGCTCAAGTGGTGCTTGTCAACACAGAGGATGCTTGACTGTAGAAGAATCTTCTACATAACTGCGTAACATCCCAGCGATCAGACGCACCGTCCAATTGTTGGTCAGCCGCGCCAGTCACAGGTAGTACTAGTACTCCGATGCAGTCATGCGCGCAAGTGCAGCTCTGGTGTAGCCTTCAACCGGATGGACCACTACTCTTTGCCGAAAGCTTCTTCTTGGTTCATGCTACCTCGCTATTGTACACTTATGAGAACATGGATCTCTCTTCGCGATGGCCCCATACGTTCGCGTCTATGATAGTGCGAGGGACTACAGCACCGTTCGGCGCCTGGAATGGTCAAAGTGCGGGGTTCTGCCGAATACGAGATCATGAAATTATCCCCAGGAACAGCGAAACATTAGCCTCCCGTAGTAATTATAGGCATTGTCTGTACTCTTGATCTCATGGGATACAAGGCGCGGGACCTAGAGCCAGTAAATAAAGTTAATTCGACTGGGGCAGTCGTCGTCTAGTCAGAGATGGATGGGCCCCGACCATAGAAAACAGTCTTCTTGTTGTTATTATTATCGACATTGCCTCAAAAATCCGTGCCCGAAGCCTTATTCTCTGTCGAACTGCATAGCCCCTCCATAAGCGCTACGCTAACTGGCAAGCTGAAAGGCGACAGTGAGCGCTGAATGGCTCGTCAGCCTCCATACTGGAATCAGAGCGAGTCTCCTGACAAGTCCACGCTGATTGCTGGATGTACAGGCGCCACACATCCCCCTTTTGAAGCCGCGATCAACAGATCATCATATCATGGTGCGTGGGAATGCCGGCCTCCCTGACCGCAAATATATGTATCTAATCTTGGGATCGTGTTCAGACCAATCCGAAGCACTGCACATAAGCGAAAGTACAAATAGCCCCTTAGAGCTTTGTGGTGTATATACGCTGCTGTTTCCAATCTCCTGAAACTTTTCTTCTTTGTTGTTCCTCCATAAGTATTGAAATCGCTGTTGTCCTCTTGTGGGGATATGTGCCTGGTTTCCGAGGCACCAAAGATAGGTGCCTATCTATATTACTAAAATAGTATTAGCGCCACGCCACTCAGTGTTTGGAACCTTTCCGCCTTTTTTTTTTTTTTTTTTTGGCGCGCCGAAAAAGATAAAGAGAAACACAGTCAAAGATCAACAGAAGGAAAGGAGGCAGAGCGTCTAGCTTTTCAGCCGCTGTGCGATCTTTATTCCATTCATTCCTATTGGAAATAGCTTGCATTCTTCGTGTTGTTACTCCCGACAACGAAGGGGTTACCAATCATTTTTGCTTTGGGCTCATCTTGTCACTCCGCGCGACAATCTTTATCAGCCGCAAATAGCTGATCGCATAACTGATTCTTGTGCCTGACATTTCGCAGCACTAGACAGCGTGCTTGCCAAGTATTTTTTTTATTTCACTTTTACGTTGTTGCTTGGGTTATAGTACCCACCAGTAACCGTGCTGCCATCTTATAAGTGGGTTATATAGCGGGGGCCAAAATGGTGTCGTTCTCATGCGAGGTGAGTTGGACAAGGCGTTTATTCGTTCTCGCATGTCCAGATGTTATGGGCAAACCTTAAATGGACGGTGTTTGCTGACCTTTGCCTCTCAACTTTAGGCTTGCGGTGATATTCTCACCAAGAAGAAGCTCGATCCTCACCGCAACCAATGTCGCGGCGCAACCTTCACCTGCATTGATTGCATGGTCCATTTCCAGGGCACTAGCTATAGATCACATACGGTATGGATATGTTTTACTTTTCCTAAGTGCCATACCTATCAGTCCGATGCTACTTGATCGCCCTCGCCGTCTTGAGCGCACCATTGGTTCTCAGTGCGATCACTTAGCAGCTTTGCTTTACAACTTGTCGCAAGTGTATCGAGTAGGCGTCAACGGCGAGGGCCCTCTTGATAACTGCTACCTATTCAACAACCTACTGTCATGGATTAGTCGATGCTAACTTGACTTAGTCATGCATGACCGAGGCTCAGAAGTATGAGGGCGCTCTATATAAGCCGAAACAAGCGAAGAACCAACGGAACCAAAAAGGCAAGAACGATCCAAAGCAGAACGCGAAGCCTACTACCAATGGTCACCGAGCACCGTACGTCGAAGACGCTCCTGAGTCCGACAAGTCGAAGGAGAACGTATCCGCGCTACCCACTGCCCCTACTCCCCCAGCCACGTCAGGGACTCCTCAGAGAGACGATTCTAAACAGGTCAATGTATTCGATTACCTAGTTGCTGAGAAGACGCCGAACCTATCAAAGGTCTCCCTCAATCAGCCCAAAGAGCAGATGCAAATGGTTGATCACGCCCCTTCTGTTTTTGAAGCCAGTAAGGCGCTAGCCAACTACGAAACTGGCGGCGCGGATGAGGATAAGCAGTATGATTTGCCATACGAGGAAAATGGGTATTCTTACGGTTCCGGTCCTATTCCACCATCGGCATACCCAAGTCAAGCCGCGAACGCTTCCATGGAATTTATGACCCCGGCCCCGAAAAAGAAGAAGGACCGTTCACGCAAGACTGAGGCGGGCGCCGTTACCAGTGAGAAGAAGCGAAAGCGCCATAATGAAGACCAGGAACTTGAAGACATCGACACCCCTATGATGGAAGCACCATCTAGCGTTGTGAACCACCCAGGCACGCCCATGCTAAACCACTCCGGGTTAACAGGGGGGTTGAGTCGGATGCTTCGATCCCCGTCCTTGGAAGCTGAGAATGACCACGCCGATCATCCTCGCCGGCGTTACCAGGACCCATCATCTCCCATCAAGCGTACTCGTCGTGATGACAAGGATGGCTCTGATGCCGGCTTGGGCATCTCAATGAAGAACCGTGCTGAGCGCCTTGTATCTTCCATGTTTGGAGGCCCTGCGGAAAGCAAGCGTGGCTCATCGGATGATGGTGATATACGACCCAAGAAGTCGAACCGTGTGGCATCTGATTCGCACAAGTCTAAGCGCAAGAGTAGCGCCCAGATGGATGGTCGGCCGTCTCAACGTCTCAAGCAAATCGAATATGCCAACGGTTCCCGCACCGAGTCGCCACGCGGGGATGACGGCCGTCAGGTCGTGGTCTATGGGCAGCCGAACATTCCTAGTGACCTACAGCGACAGATGGCTTCTCACTTCTTGTCATTGGTGACCAAGGGTCCCGAAAGCCAGCGAGGATTCTCTGTTAACAAGGTCTTGAAGCGCTTTCATCGTGATTTCACCGACGAATTTGATGACGACCGAGGCCGTGAGCAAGGGCGCAGCCGTGCTGACCACGAGCAGAGAGGCGAAGACGAGAAAGACCTTTGGCGTACACTGCGCATCAAGAGAAATGATCGGGGAGAGATTGTCCTTTTTATGTAATCATGAGCAAGGCTAGGTTTGACGGCTGATAAGATTGTTCGTGTTTTCTTTTCATTTGCATAGCGACGTCACTTTGATATACTTATTATTCGACCTTGGCTCCGTCTGCTAACAGCCAAAGCACTTCTTTTCTCTATTATATTGGGTCTACAACCATATCCAGTAATGGGAGTATGTTGTTTGGCCCTTAGTACCTTTTCTTTCATTTAAGATAAATATATGTATCTATACATGTACTGGTGTACTCAAGATATATACATATCATCTAGAGGCGCTACAAGAGTTATGACCGAGTTGTAGAGCGTTTTAATGCTTCTCGGATCTGTAGGGGCCTTGCTCTAAGAATATATTAACTTTTTGTACCAGGTTTCATTACTCTAATGTCTTTCAGCGTGGAGATGATCACTTGTAAGGAACTCGGAACGAGAGGGGCCAGACTGAGTCACGATTACTCACATTGAATCGACAACCGTGTGCTTGGCAGGGACCCCTACTCGCAAGTATGACTCTGACCGGTCTAGCCACATGACTCATGAAGACTGTACATCTTGTACTGCATATGATTGGAGGCTCAGGAGCCAACCAACGGCTAGAGCCGCAACGGAGCTTCCGCCACTCAAATCTGAAATTCTAAGGAACAATTGCCCCGTCGATCTTTCGATCGCCTTCTCTTTTGATTTAATCTTCGTCGCCTCCGGGGGAACAGGCCCTGTTTCATTCTTTTGCTATCTTCAGACACACCTCCACCCGGATCACTAGAGGGAGCGTCCTCGACCATCTGTCATATCGCACCTCCCAATTGCAATTAGTTCTTTATCGAAGTGTGCATGAGCGGGCGGGACGAAATTTGTAACCGGTTATCGATCACCGAGACTATGTCCGACGCGCCTGCACCCGCTGCGGAGGGAAGCGCATCTCGCCCGAGGCCATCGAGACGTGGAGGCCGAGGTCGTGGCAATCGCGGTCACCGACGCCCTCAGACGCAAAATACAGAACGCTCTCATGATGCACAACCGCCAACTCAGCAGCCGTCACAGATTCAATCTACCCAGAATTCGCCATCAGACCCTTCCGCTGATGCACCACGCTCTCGCAGAGGACCACGGAGGGGAAGAGGTGGAGGTCGGGGCGGCGGTGCACCCTCGGAGGGCAGCAGTCGTCGACAGAGACACCGAGGCGGAGACCGAGGGACAACCAGTACGGGCAGACGGTTCGAGGGACGCTTAACGAAAGCAGAGCATGTTCCGGAGGACGAACAGATTGATGCGGCAGTGGATACGAATGATTTAGGATTGAGGGCCGACGCGCCTGCATTTGTGCCAGGAACTCAACCAAAACATGTCGCAAACGAGGCAACTCCCTCGACTACTTCTGCACCCGCAAAGAAGAAGCCTAAAGCTAAGAATACCCCGCCTCCGCCGCCCAAAGTTACGACAAAATCAGTAGCGCCCGACATCGCCACTCGCATTCACGAGGATATTGCTCACAACCTTTATGAGTGTCCTATTTGTACCGGAGAGCTGGGGAGGAGATCGCGTGTCTGGAACTGTGGGTTATGTTGGACGGTATTCCATTTAAGCTGTGTCAAGAAATGGTCGAAGAACGAAGGTGCTGCTGCGCAGGACGCTGCTCGCCGCCAGGGAGAAGGAGACCCGACTACCCCTCGAGCCTGGCGCTGTCCTGGCTGTAACCTTCCCCAAGAAGTGTTTCCATCAAACTACACTTGCTGGTGTGAGAAAGATGTTGACCCGCGGCCGTTTCCCGGTCTTCCACCACATTCATGCGGCCAGACCTGTGCACGACAGCGTAAAGGCTGTCCGCACCCGTGCGATGCGACCTGTCATGCTGGACCCTGCGCGCCATGTACAGCTATGGGACCTACTCAAGATTGCTTTTGCGGCAGGAATTCGTCCACTAAGCGTTGTCAGGATACCGATTATGAAAATGGATGGAGCTGCGGGGAAATTTGTGGAGATCTTCTGCCGTGCGGCGAACATACTTGCTCTCGACCCTGCCACGAGGGTCTCTGTGGTGATTGTGAGGAGAGGATAGAGGCTCGCTGCTACTGTGGAAAAGTACAGACGGAAATGTTGTGCAGTTCCAAGAATGAGGAAATGGACAGCCAGATGCTGCGCGATGAGGACGGCGAGAAGAGTCACGTTGAGGATTGGACTGGTTGTTTTAATTGCGGAGACCAATGCAATCGCCCCTTGGATTGTGGTGTTCACTTCTGCCAGAAGCGCTGTCATCCACAGGATATACACCTCGCCCACTGTCCGAGGTCACCAGACGTCGTGCTTCATTGCCCTTGTGGTAAAACAGCATTGATCGAAATTCCCGGATATACTCCCCGAAACTCTTGTGAGGACCCAATTCCCAACTGCTTGGAGGCTTGTGGAAAGATTCTACCATGTGGACACTCATGCGACAAGGTCTGTCACACCGGCTCATGTGGGCCTTGTTTGCGCAGAGTGCCTGTGCCGTGCCGTTGCGGACGCAACTCTTTTATGTCCATTTGCCACCAAGGTACTCTTGAGCACCCTCAGTGTTTCCGCATCTGCAAGGCTGGCTTGCATTGTGGTCGCCATGCGTGTGCTGAGCGGTGTTGTCCCGGCGAACAGAAGGCGATTGAGCGTCAGGCCCTGCGGCGGAAGCTCAAGTCTCACCTTCGCCCAAGTGACGACGATGTCGAAGCCGAACATATCTGCACTCGAGTGTGTGGCCGTATGCTGAAATGCGGGCGGCATACATGCCCTGAGCTCTGTCATAAAGGACCCTGCAACACTTGTAGGGAGGCTATCTTCGAGGAGATCTCGTGTAATTGCGGTCGATCTGTTTTGTATCCGCCCTTACCCTGTGGGACCCAACCGCCGCCATGCTCTTCCCCGTGCGAACGCCCAAAATCATGCGGACATCCCCAGACACCACACAACTGTCATACGGATGAAGAGGACTGCCCAAAATGCCCCTATTTAACCGAAAAGACGTGTTTGTGTGGAAAACAAATGTTGAAGAACGTGCCTTGTTGGCTGGCAGATGCGCGGTGTGGCCGTATCTGTGGCGAAACGCTTAAATGCGGCTCTCATACGTGCCAGAAGAACTGCCATCGCCCAGGCGATTGTGAGGATACTTTGAAGCCTTGCCAACAGCCATGTAGAAAGACCAAGACGATGTGCGGTCATCCATGCACGGAGCCTTGCCACGCGCCTTATCCATGCCCGGAGAAAACGCCCTGTTCCTCCATGATTACGGTAACATGTGGTTGTGGACGACTCCGTCAGGAGCGTCGCTGCAATGCAGCGAAGGCTGTGGCATCAAAGGGACAAGTGCAGCAGCCACAAAGACTGCCTGCTGTGACCCCATTGACGTGTGATGATGAATGCGCGCGGCTTGAGCGGAACCGTTCGTTGGCATCTGCTTTGGGAGTTGACATTAACCCGTCAACAACCGTTGCTCAGAATTTGACGGCCACGAATCTTCCCTACTCGTCTGAAACCCTGGACATGTATATCCAGCTATCATCCTCCGCTCCCCTGTCTACCCTCCAATCTTACGAATCCACCCTTCACTCATTAGCGGCCAATCCAACACAACGTTCTGTACGGTTTCAGCCGGCAAAGTCATCCCTGCGGGCGTTTGTTCATTCCCTCGCAACTGACTGGGGCTTCGCGAGCGAGAGCTTTGACCCTGAACCTCACCGACACGTGTTCGTTTTGAAACCTACAGTGTGGAACCCTCCTCTTCTTGGGATGGGCAATGGAACAGCGATCGGAATCGGCGGTATGAGTGTGAGCGAATGTGTTAAATTGCGCGAACGCCAGCGCCAGAAAGATCGTGAAGCCCAACGTCTTGCTGCAGCGGAAGCAAAGGCCCAACGGGAAGCCGTTAAGGCTCAGGCAAACGCCGCCAACGAGGGTGGATGGGCTCAGGTCGCCGCCTCACGACGAAGCAACGCCAGTACCCGGAGTACGACCCCGAATCCAGGCACGGTTTCCCGGTCTGGCTCGATGTTTGCAGCTCTCGCTGGCGATGATGGGAGCACATGGGGCGCTCCTAAGAAGGAAAAACTCGTTCTTCGGTCAGGAGTAGGCGCCGGAAAACAGCTGCGAGCCCGACAACCCGCAACTGAGGTCGTTGATAGTTGGGAAGAAGAGGAAGAAAAACAAGAGCAGGAAGAGCGTGCTCGGGAGCAGGGGCAGGAAGAGGACGATAGACAAGGAGATGTTCAGAATGAAATCTCCGAAATCGAAACAACAGAAACTGGAGAAGCTATTGCTACTTCTTCGGTGGCGTGATACCGAGACGTTTGAGATAATTGTTAATGATTGCATACGGAACGTTTTCTTAATCTTTGTTTCTGTTTTTTTTCTACGGCATCATGGGTATGGCCCCATATGATGATGACGAACCAGATTAGCGAGCAGGATTCGCATAAGTGGCGTGTTTAACAAAGCGACTCGGAATCTAATAAAAAGTTTGATAGAACTCGATTGAATGATACTCTTACAATACCCTAGAAAACTAATCAAATCAGTAGAAAACTTCAAGTTAGAAAGGAGAGCCCGAACAAGCGATCCTAAGTTATAAGCTTAGAGATTCGTCCTATCAAGCAGGACGATCGAGCCTTGGAAACCACCTCTTCAGTCGTACCAGATACTATTAACTATAAGGATAGACTTGAAGAGCCTATGCTGTCCAATACAGCTGTACCAGCATAACTCGTTTATTTACCCTGGTCCATTTGTCATCTTGTTTACAGGAAGAGCCATCCAGCCAAAAAGCATCGCCGAGCTCGCAGATGAACCAGCCCTTCTCCAATTGGCCACTGTAGCACAAATATTAATTCCCCGGCTGAGGTCATGCTATCTGTGCCATCTTCTCTATAAGGCTGAACCAATTTACTGTGACAGGTTACACGGAGATAGAGCTACAATACTTGTCCTATGCTTCTTCGTGAAATGCATCGACCATATATTTTGCCATATGACCAACACTCCTGGTTGAACTTCAACATGAACGAGTGTTTATAACACCAGTACATACTGTGCAAATATGTTCCCGTCATCTTGATATGGATTAATGGTATTCTCTCAACAAGAATGAGTGACAATATATTGATGGTTGGCCGCCGGATCGTTCGGATAACGAACGTGTTTCGTACTCACTGCGTGAAAACCTAAGCCCACTGGCTGAGTCACGAGGGTTGGTTAACTAACTAACTAGTTGCAATGTGTAGTTACTGTCTTTCATCTCTTTGCTGGGTCAACCTTATGGGGAATATACTCGTCTTAGATTAAGAACCGATAGAACTCTCGGAGCCATTGGAGCTGGCGAGTACCTGCATAGGGTTACGTACCCCCTTCTTCTACTCCGTATGCCCCAGCCTGCGCCAGTCAAGCTTTGAGATACGCCATTGGTTCCGGATAGATTACACTAGTTGATTGAAAAGAATCATGATCGACAGATGATGTGGACTGCCGCAGCCACTACTGCGGTATACAGGGGAAACATGTACTAATCCACCCTGTTTCACTTATTAACATCACCATAGAATGATCGGCGGCCTGCAGCTAATCTAACTTATTCGCTTCTTTGATCATTGATTTTCATCTTCCGCTGTTTCATTATTTAGTTGAGTTATCTTTCCCTTCTTCTTGCGACGTGGGTGAGTTGATGGTTCTCCGTTGCCATTACTAGATGGATGTGATAATCATTAGGTAACCATTAGCGACCTTGACCGAGGTCGCCCTTCCCTGCCCTTCGCTTTGCTTTTTCTTCTTTGTCTCATTGCATGTTGGGATTGTGGGGTTGGGTCTGATGGCTTCTTCGTCTAGATTTACTCGAACCGCTCCATGGCGGCCACTATTGAACTCCCGTGGCGTGGCGAACGGTAGTTGCCTGTTGCTCTCATTGGGAATAGCTTACAGGGAACATTGACTACGGATTCACCCGGTGATTCTCGAGGCTGTCTTGTGGCGGTCGGTATCTCCGGTTGCGAAGTCTGGTACGGTGCGCAGCACTAACCCAGCCTAAAGGATCTAGACAGGCGGGAGAATAAAAGTTTCCATGGTAGCCTACACTAAAGCGGTGTTTCGTTGTCATTCTTTGTCCGTAGTTGCCCCCCAAGCTAGCGATGATTTTTTTTTTTTTTTTACCTTTTCTTTTTTAATTAATCGTTCTGGCGGGTTGTGTTAGCGTAGTGCGGTGGATTGAAGACAAAATCTGACGGTTCACGCTTGTTCTGCCGACAGCGGCTTGGCAACGGGGGGGACTGAGAGGGATTTTTCTTGGAAAAGACTTAACAAAGAAATAGAAAGGCTTATTTGGGTAGATTGCATGGCAAATGGTTCGGGATGAAAGCATAGTATATCAGACTTTCGGAGTTTCTTGTGTTGTTGGACATCAGATTAGATTATCTGATTGATTTGATCCCAGACGAAAATCTTATCTACCATGGGACAGACGGCTGGCAGACAATGAAACTTTTTCACGGTCGAAGACGTCAACAATGAAAACCCGGTGAAAAAATTTGCAGGTCTGACGGTGTTGCCGACGTGGGGACCAGCCGTGCACTAAGTGGGGAACGTTCAGTGGAAATTCTTGACCGGATTTCCAATGATGTATGGCATGACTGACAGAGTTCTGGACAAGAGTTGACTACTACTCTGATACTGTATGCACTGTAAAACTTTCAGAAGCGGCCATCAGAGGTCGTTGGTCACCTGAGCGTAGAAATATTCTTTTGGCAGGGTTCCTTTTCCCGATTTGTTTAGTTTGAGGGGGTTCTTGACGTGGTCATTGTTGATGGTAACCCAAGTTTATCTTTGCCCGACCTAGTGGAAAAGGAAGAAGTCAAATACGGAGTACTAAGTTTCCAAAGTTAAATGCCATATTGTTGGTTGGGAAGAGTAGCAGTACCTTCACGCACTAACTCAAATAACTCGCAGGAAAGTGGGATGATAGTCTACTGCCCAAGATCAGAGATGCACTCCGTACTGTACATGTACGCCCTATAACACTTAGCTACGATGCTTGCTTACCTGTTCTCTGCTCGGGCCATGTCTTGATTCAAATGTAAGACGCCTCATACGCCAGGACAATCCCACTCAATCGATCCCGTCAGCGTACGGGCTAGTTTTCTCTTTCGCGGTTGGACGTCTTGTTCATCTCGTTTGACTTTACAGCCGGTATTCGCTCCTTGGCATCGCGTGGGAGAGGACGTACTAAGCTCTTTGTGGAGGGACTACTGTGCACCAGTGGGGATGAGTATATCCGCACCGGAAGTTTTTCGTGTGAGGATGGTGCTCGTCCTCGATCATATGTCGCATCGCACCAGAGCCCGTCGGGTGTTCCCAACGGAATCAGTCTCGATCGAAACAAAGGGGGAGAACGTTCTACCGGGAGAAGTTGATTCTCGAGTTACATGTAGAGTTAGGTAGGGTAGTGTTGTTTGCCATGGGCACTGACTAGCAAATCGCTCCTGGAACCGGAATAGAACCGGAGATAACCTGCAAGGGCAAACAGCGGATCATCATCCTGTAGATGTAATTTTCTTTTTCTTTTTTCTTTTTCACCCTATGAGCACCACCAATGAGTGGGTATAATCTCCGCTCAGGCATTTTTTTTTCAGCTCCGAGGCAGGCGTATCGGTCGGTATCGGATGAGACTAAAAGGGTAGTTCCATAATCAGATCCCAGAAAATGTTATCTGATCCGGCCATTCGCATTGTGGCTCCACGCCTGCAACCCCCCTCCGCACCATGATTGGTTCGATACAACCATTTCCACCACTCAACCAACATCGCTTGGGCTCCACGCTGAAGCAGCGCGTCTTGTGCGGGAAGGGAAAATTGTGTTTCGCATGATTTCTATGGCCCGGCTTATTCGCCGTTGCTGGTGGATATATTGCGCTTGATTTCCTCGTGCGGATCTCTTTCCTTCTTCTCTCTTTTATAGATATTCTCCCTTCCCCCCCCTTGTTACCTTGGGCACCCAAGCTTTCACCCTTTGAGTATTTTCAATTGGGGAGACCACGCCATCAAGGTCTCAAACAGGAAGTGTGATCTTCACGCTCGGAGATCAGAAGAGAAGGAGACGAAAGAGGGATCGCGCTTGGACGTGACCCATTCAATCAAATATGGGTTTCATGGAGAAATTCACTGGTGCTACACCAGCTGCAGACACCGGAGATACCGAAGCTCATAGGCCGAAGAATGCAGCGGAAGCATCCGGAAACCAGATCCTCTCCGTTGAGACTGACAGTTCCCGGTTGAGCCTTGAAGCGCGCAACGAGAAGGAGGCCCAGGAACATCCCGATCAGGTCACGCGAGATGCGTATCTCGGTCAGCAGAGAGCCGAAGCTGCTGCCCTTATTTGGAGTAAGAAGGTAGTCCTTGCTACCTACGGCTGGTGAGTATCTTGGCTAATCTGTTCATTGTTTGTCAAATTTCATGTCTAATTATGCATGGTCAACTACAGGATTTGGGTGTGTTTCTTTATGATGGCGCTTCAGTCAGCTCTCAGCAGCACCATTATGTTAGCCGCTTATTCCAGTTTCTCGTCCGCCCCGCAAGTCGCTACGTCCAACATTTTGTATAGTATCATCGGGGGCGTCCTGAAGCTGCCCATTGCTAGAATGCTTAACGTTTGGGGCCGTGCAGAAGGTTTACTCGTCTTCGTCGGAGTCTACACCTTAGGCCTGATCATCCTTGCGTCATGCAATGGACCTAATTCCTTCGCCGCCGGCCAAGTGTTCTTTTGGGTCGGGTACAACTCTGTTTACTATATTCTCGACGTCTACATTGCCGATACCTCTGGCCTGAAGAACAGAGCCTTTGCTTTTGCTTTTGCCAGCACGCCTTTCATCTGTACTGCCTTCACAGCACCTTTGGCTGGCCAGTCTTTTGTCCGCCACACCGGCTGGCGCTGGGGTTATGGTGTGTTCGCTATCGTGGTTCCCGCCACCATCTCTCCCCTTGCTGTAGTTTTCAAATACTATGAGCGAAAGGCCATCAAGGCGGGTGTTTTCAAACGGGAGCCTAGTGGCCGGAGTGTTGTGCAATCTATTGTACATTATTTTCATGAATTTGATGGTATGTTGCGAAGTCTCCCGGCTCTTGTTTGTTTGCTGACATTGTGCGATTTCAGTTATTGGTGGACTCCTCCTGATGGCCGCTTGGATCCTTTTGCTGCTGCCATTCAGCCTGGCAACCTACGGTCGGGCCCAATACAAATCCGCAACTTTCATCGCCGAAATTGTCGTCGGATTCTGTCTACTTTTTGTTTTCGCCGCGTGGGAGAAGTGGGGTGCTCGTTCCCATTTTGTCAGCTACGAGCTGCTCAAGACGCGTACCGTTTTAGGGGCCTGCGGTATGGCTGCTATTTCTTTCTTCAGCTTCTACTGCTGGGATCAATACTTCATGAATTTCTGCATTGTCGTGTACAACCTCAGCGAGTCCATGGGAGGTTACATGGCACAGATCTACAACGTTGGCTCCACCTTCTGGGGTGTTGCATTCGGTTTGTGGGTTAGGTGGACCAAACACTTCAAGTACGCTTGTCTGTTCTTCGCGCTTCCCCTCATGATCCTGGGTGCCGGTTTGATGATTCACTTCCGTGGGGAGGGTGGTGGTGATATTGGCTATGTGATCATGTGCCAGATATTCATCGCTTTCGGTGGTGGCTCTATTGTCCTTGGTAACGAAATGGCTGTCATGGCCTCCGCTGACCGTGAAGGTGTACCCATGATGCTGGCAATACTGGGTCTGTTCAACAGCTTGGGTGGTGCCATTGGCTATGCCGTGGCCGCAGCTATCTTCAACAACACCTGGCTCGATGCTCTCCAGAGCCGTTTACCAAGCGATATGCAGTCGCAGGCCAACCAAATTTACATTGATGGTTATACAGTCCAGGTCAAGTACGCCATGGGAAGTCCAACCCGTGATGCCATTAACTACGCATGGGGTCGTTCTCAAATGTACGGATCAATTGCCGCCACATGTCTGCTTGCTCTAGGAATTCCGTGCATCGCCATCTGGAAGAACTACAATGTCGACAAGAAGCAGAACAAGGGTACTGTTCTTTAAACAGTGGGCCTCTCCTTCTACAAAGCCTGGAAGAAAAATGATAGAATCTCTCTTGGATACCCACATCTCATGTATTAAATATTGACGGTTTGGAATGGTTGGTTAGAACGCCACAAGGAAAGGGCGAGCACCTCCTATATGGTTATAATACTTATCGATTTAATGTCAAATTCATACCCATTACTTCTACTCTTCACATTTGGGACGCTTCTGTTAATCAGCCGCTCCAGCTCTAGATGGAGCCTATCGCCCTCTTCTATGCATCTCTATCGCAGCACTGTGTTCACAGCTTTCTAGACTAGGATAGAGATACGGCAAATGGCACGCTCTAATATTACCTCAATCTATGATGCTCTATCACTGCTTGAACAGATCCTATTTCCTCCTGACAGCTTTTGTAGGACTTTTACCTATATTCCACGTCTTGTAGATACGTACTCCGTACATACTCGCCATACCCCAACCCCGCGGGCACGTGCGACATCCCTTGCAGGCCATCCAATACTTTGTCCCCAACCTCTGTCGATCAGTCCCTTCGCGTAGACATGATGTTACATTGCATTTAATGGGCATCAAGCTATCTCCAGCTACTCCGCTATGTCACACTGTTACTCCACTTCGTACACGCTTGTTCCCCGGAAGTGTGCCTCACAAACGATAGACCTTCAGCCCCTCCAAACATGCTCTTTGTCGTTATTCAGGTCTGAGGTTTTTAATATTAATTATATGCAATGGGTATGCGTCGAGAGTACATAGCCATCTTATGTGCGCAACTGACGAGCCTTGCTCTGGGAAGTCATCAAGCGCGCTCTCTAGCGGCGAACCAAGACGTCCTTGGATACGTCGACCCTCTCATCGGGTCAAATAACGGAGGCAATGTGTTCGCAGGAGCTAGTCTACCTTATGGCATGGCTAAGGCAGTAGCAGATGTTGATGGTCAAAATACCTCGGGTTTTTCCACCGACGGTAGCAACGTCACCGGATTTTCTGCGTTACATGATGCCGGCACAGGGGGGAACCCATCATTGGGCAACTTCCCTGTGTTCCCTCAGTACTGTCCTGAAGACGTGCTTGACAACTGCAACTTCCCCAACGCTGCGCGGGCAGTCCATTATCTGAATGACTCAGTTGTCGCCCGACCGGGGTATTTCGCTCTATCGTTGGAGAGTGGGATTTATGCTGAAATGACCACTACGGAACATGTCGCCTTGTTTCGCTTCAACTTCCCTTTAGCGACAGCGGCAAATGGTTCGGGGCTTAGTCCGTTGATCATGGTAGATCTGACTGATCTATGGAAAAGTCGACAAAACGCGTCCATTAGTGTAGATGGTCAGACTGGACGCATCAAAGGCAATGGCACATTTCTTCCTAGCTTTGGTGCAGGCTCTTACGTATCGTATTTCTGTGCTGATTTTGCCGGCGCATCCATACGAGATAATGGAATCTGGGTCAACAACCGTGGAGGAACCGAACCTAAAGAACTATACGTTACTCGAGGGTTTAATAACTTTTATCTCGAGGCTGGCGGTTTTGTCAGGTTTGAACGACCTAGTAATGGATCAGTGAGTGTACGAGTCGGCGTTAGCTATATCAGCACAGATAGAGCTTGCGAGAATGCACAACGTGAAATCCCGCAACCACTAGAGGAGTTCGACGATATTCGACATCGCGCAGAGAGCGCTTGGAGAGAAAAACTTAGACCGATATCTATAAAGCCAGGTGGTGTGAGTGAAGATTTGCAAACCAGCTTCTGGAGTGGTGTTTACCGCACCATGCTTGATCCACAAGACTTGACCAGTGAGAACCCACTCTGGAAAAGCGACGAGCCCTACTTTGACTCTTTTTACTGGTATGTATAACCGATTCTCAACTTTGTACAGGACCTGACGTCCTCCAGTATCTGGGATTCCTTCAGGGCACAGCATCCATTCCTCACAATTGTTGATCCAGCGGCACAATCGAGAATGGTACGCAGTCTCCTCGACACATACAAACACGAAGGCTGGTTACCAGACTGCCGCATGAGCCTCTGCAAAGGCTGGACACAGGGTGGCTCAAATGCTGACGTCGTGCTAACCGATGCGTATGTAAAAAACCTCACTGGGATTGACTGGGACCTAGCATACGAGGCCATGGTCAATGACGCTGAGAACGAGCCCTTGGAATGGTCGTATGAGGGAAGAGGTGGTCTGCAAAGCTGGAAACGACTCAACTATATACCTTACTTAGACTTTGATTACCTGGGCTTTGGCACGAATTCCCGGAGTATCTCACGAACGCTAGAATACTCATACAACGATTTCTGTCTATCGACAGTTGCCAATGGACTCCAAAAGGAAGACTACACAAAGTACCGGTCCAGAGCTGGAAATTGGCAAAACTTATACAAAGCTGATCAAACTTCTTTGATCAACGGCACTGACACTGGCTTCGTTGGCTTCTTCCAACCCAAGCATCTAAATGGAACGTGGGGTTACCAAGATCCAATTGCCTGCAGTGCTCTTGCTTCATGGTGTTCACTAACAAGCAACCCATCTGAGACATTTGAGTCTAGCGTATGGGAGTACCAATTGTATAAGCCCCTTCCCAGCTAAGGTGCGAATGCTAACGGTTATAGCTACGTCCCCCATGATATGGCGACTCTGATAGACCTTCTCGGTGGCTCAGACACATTCGTCTCTCGACTCGACTTTTTTCATACCTCTGGTTTAGCGGATATGGGCAACGAACCTGTTTTTCTAACGGTATACCAATACCATTACGCCGGGAGACCCGCGCTCTCCGCCCGCCGTGCGCATAGCTACATCCCGTCTTTATTCAACACCTCGAACAGCGGCCTGCCTGGAAATGACGACTCAGGAGCCATGGGTGCATTTACTGTGTTCTCCATGATGGGCCTCTTCCCAAACCCTGGGCAAGATGTCTACCTTATTATTCCTCCGTTTTTTGAGGCGGTTCAGATCACGCACCCAACAACAAACAAGACTGCTACGATTCGAAACGTCAACTTCGACAATACCTATAAAGGTATTTACGTACAGAGTGCAACGCTCAATGGAAGCCCTTATACAAAGAGTTGGATAACCCATGACTTTTTCACTCAGGGGATGACGCTAGAGTTGACTCTGGGGGACACCGAAAGTGACTGGGGCCGTCGTGAGGAAGACTTGCCACCTAGCCTGAGCAAATCCTTTAGTTGAGACAAGGCCCATGGGTTATGGCAAATCGATGTGGTGCCTGAAATAGAAATGGAGCTCGAAATGTAGTAGCCTCTACTTATGAACATGGTTTATCTGAGACAATGCAGATGACTGTGCTGCACTGGCACTATATATAACACAGTAGGTCCAGACTCTAGAGTATATAAGCAAAAGTACTGTTTCGAGGATTTATTTTAAGTGATTCTGTACAGCCCCAGCTAACTAATCTCCATGGACGCAGGACTTGTCGGTTCAACGCTCCCGAGTCATGCGCAACTTTAACCTTGTTGGGTAAAGTACGGTGTCAGCCTGAGGCCATGCTATAATTACCCCGACCAATCAGTGTCGCCACATGACGGGAACTTTCCCCCGACTCCGAATAGCCCCCGTGAATCGTGATTCTGTGAACAGCAGCAGCTTATCCGATTCTATGGGACAGAGATGTAGGTGGCCGGCCCTGCATACTGCATACAGTTCAAGGGACTTTACTGTCCTGCCGAAATTCTCGTAATTGTTATTGCCTGCTATCTTTGCGACAACAATTATCTCGCTCTCTTCTTCGAGAACACCCAATTTAGTGTTGAAGCAGTCTGCTCGCCCCTCCTGACCTACTACTTAGGTAAATTGAACCGCTATAGCTTTCCGTGTCACGGTAATTTCAAGGCTCTTTGCCCTGTATGCCCTCGCGTCGCAGTCATACAAAGTCCCGAAAGGGCTGTCTGCAATGTAAGCGGCGCCATGTCAAGGTTGGTTCCTTCTATGATTTCCTGTCTTATATTTGTTTCGTCACCACATGGGTTTCATTGGTTTCATTAGGTTGACCATTTCTATCACATCTTTCGTTCTGCTTTTGGAAGACAATTTATCTTCCATACAGTCGTTGACAATCTCTAGTGCGACGAAGAGCTCCCAAGGTGCGGCTTGTGCCAAAAACGAAAACTGCAATGCAAGTACCCAGCCTCATCCAATGAGGCAGATGGTCTAAACCCTTCCACACCTCAGGATGAGGTTGAGTCAATATATAGTTCAAACGAGTTGTCTTTATCCACAAGAATGCTGGAAATGAGGCTTTTCCATCTCTATCTGACGGAGACGTACATCACCCTGTACCCCGGGAAGTTAGATACCAATCATTTCCAGTCCGCCGTCCCAGGGCTAGCGACCTCTTATCCATTCTGCCTGGATGCCCTGCTGGCATTTTCTGCCCTACATTTGGCCTCGAAAGAGGCGGGCGATAACCGCCAATGGGTGGAGTGCGCTCTGAAGTACCAGAACCGCTCCTGTTCTGCCATGAGCCGCGTGTTGGCTGAATTCTCTGTTGAGTACTCTGGGCCAGCTTTCATTTGCTCCATACTCATCATGTTATGCTCATACGCCTATCCCTGCGTTTCCAAAGACGACCAGCCATTTGATCCTTTGGCACAGGTCCTAGCAATCCGCCGACTCCTTGCTGGTTGTGCTTTCTTTTTTCACCAACTCGGTAAGATGGAGCATCCGGGCGAACTAGCGGGATGGTTACGATACAAAGACGATGAGGACTTGGAAGAAGAGCTCCCCAAAGAGTAAGCACCTTACGCGCTACTACTGGACCTTGTAAAACGAAGGATTAACCGTGTTTCAGACAACAAGACCCGAAACTCATCCAATTACGAAGGTATTTAATGTTCCTGACCTGTTGGGGTATATGGATATGAATGGGCTATTACTAACATCACTCGAGTGCCCTACTGAATTCCCTAGGCCGTATACGAGGAATGATTGATGATGTTGATGAATCTCGCAGAGAAGTAAATCAGGACATTTGGGAGTTCCTGAATGAAGCAGTTAAGCGACCATTGGGCGGACGCGAGGGGGGAGTTATTGCGTTGCCTATTAGAATTAGTGATGCTTATGTGAACCTCCTTAAAGAGGGCGATTGGACGGCCCGTATATTATTTCTCCATTTCGGTGTCGGGATGCATCTCCTCTCTGACAGGTGGTTCGTGAGAGACTGGGGACGCCGGCTCGTATCGACAGTGTTGCAGCCACTTGAGGAAATCCCGACAGAATGGAAAGAGACTGTTACATGGACAAGGCAAGCGGTGGACCTTGACAAGTGGTCACGATCTTGAACAAGAAGGAGGGCAAATAAGGGGAAAAAACCCCCCCCGAAAGCAAACCAGGAGGGAAAATTAACTCTTGATACATAACAGGATCAGCGATAGAGCCGTCAAATGCGGAGATGTGGCTGATAGCTATTACGTAATAGCTTGAATCCCTTGCGGGTTGATTCCGCTGTAAATCCACCCCATGATATATGGAGTATCAAACAATACTATAGGCGATGATAGCGGCCCGTTTGGTGGACCGTGGGACCATGGATATCCCTGCCCAATCCGGTAGGCCGTCAGATGACTTCACCACGGGCTCGCGCTTATCTGGTTCATGTACGGAGTATTTGCGGAGATACGGCAGCTCTGTTATCTCTAGATTGCAGCCCTCCTTTGCTGGGCGCAGTCAGTTACATAGAGCCTCCTTATCTCTTGTTTCATCATATTATTTACTCTCCGTACCATCTCTCTAAGTCCTAGGAAATCCCTTTCCTTGGCTTACATTCTGTCATTTTCTGTTTTTGTCTTATCTACTCGACGATCTCACAAATGCAGACCCCACACCCTAACTCGATAGGCCGGAATGAGTAATGAGTTTATCCAAACCGAGTGAATTGGTTGGGCCAGGGGTCCGAGGCATATTGGGCCGAGATGTGGAGAAACAGGTAGATATAAGCTTGCTCGTTCTCTTACCCTAACATTGCGCCATCTCTGGGCATTATTTGTCTGCTTTCGGTAGTAATACCTGGTTGGTGACCTTGGCAGCCACTTTTAACCACTTGCGACCTTCCGGGCGCCGAAGCAACCACTGGCTGGCCGAGTGACAAGAGGGAAAGAGCCTCAGTCATGTTTCGTCTATTAAGGACTACGTTATCCCTCGGCTTCATACTAGTGCTGGCATTGATACATCTACCGGATGTGCTCTCCTCACCACTGGAACCATCAACTCGTTATGATTCGCGAAGCGCCAATACAGTTGAACACATCGAGGAGGGCAAGCTCGGAGCAGTGGCTAGCGAGAGTGCTATTTGCAGTCGTCATGGGACGGAGATGTTGAAAATAGGTGGAAATGCCGCCGATGCTGTAAGTAATGGTGACTTAGGCTCCTGGTTATATTGCCTTGACTGAGTTACAAATGCAGCTGGTTGCAACGATATTCTGCGTAGGAGTTGTTGGTGAGATACATCAAAGTAGTGGAGAAGACATGTGAACTAACAAAAAGGTACCAGGAATGTACCATAGTGGAATCGCTGGAGGAGGGTTCGCGTTGGTGAGGGCTCCTAACGGCTCGTATGAATTCATCGATTTCCGCGAAACCGCGCCTGCAGCTGCATTCGAGGAGATGTTCAAGAACAACACCGGCGGATCCACCACGGGAGGCTTAGCAAGGTAACGGGCATTTCCTCAATCAAGTGAAGAAGCAAACAACTAATGTGCAGCAAGTGGCGTTCCTGGCGAGGTGCGAGGCCTGGAGTACCTTCATAGGAAATATGGCTCTCTTCCATGGTCAACCGTCATGCAACCTGCCATCCAGACGGCCCGTCAAGGTTTCCCAGTTGGTCGTGATCTCGTTCGTTATATGAACTCAGCCGTTGGGGGTGGAGAAGACTTCCTGTCTAAGGATCCGACATGGGCTATTGACTTTGCTCCTAATGGGACCCGTCTCGGTCTTGGGGATACCATCACCCGTAAACGCTACGCAGACACGCTGGAGACAATTGCCAACAACGGCCCGGATGCTTTCTATACCGGCCCAATTGCGGAAACCATGATACAGGCGCTGCAGGCTGTCAACGGCACAATGACGCTGGAAGACCTGCGTAACTACACCGTTGTTACCCGAGACACCTCGCAGATTGACTACCGAGGGTATAAAGTTACCGGAACAACCGCCCCCTCCAGCGGCACTGTCGCCTTGAATATTCTTAAGGTTTTGGATACTTATGACAGCTTCATGGTACCTGACAACGTGAATCTTAGCACGCATCGTTTGGATGAAGCTATACGTTTCGGATATGGACTGGTACGCGGAAGCACCTCTCTAAATTGGCACCTGGCTAACTCGACATCAAGAGAACCGAACTGGGTGATCCATTCTTCCTTGAAGGTTTGAATGAATACCAGAAAGATATGTTGACACAGTCGACGATTGATGAGATCCGTGGGAAGATCTCCGACCTACATACACAGAACGTGTCTGCTTATGATCCTAAAGGCCTCGAGAGCCTTGATACGTAAGCGCATGCTCGCTAAGCCTCATTATCCAGTCATACTAACCGATTCAGTCCTGGAACGTCGCATATCGCTGCTATTGATCATACTGGACTTACAATTTCCACTATCACAACAATCAACTTGCTTTTCGGCAGCAAGGTCATGGTGCCAGAGACGGGAATCATTATGAACAATGAAATGGATGGTTAGTGGTTATCCAGATAGCCCTTCTGCCAAGCTGAGCTTACCTGCTGATACTATTCAGACTTCTCAACGCCCGGCTCGTCCAACGCTTTTGGATACGTCCCGTCGGAGGCGAACTTCATCCGACCCGGAAAGCGACCTCTGTCATCTATTACTCCAACCATTGTAACACATCAGAATGGATCTGTCTTCTTTGTTGCGGGCTCGGCTGGTGGTAGTCGAATCATTACAGCGACTGTGCAGAATATCATCCATGCTGTCGACGAGGGCTTGTCGGCAGCCGAGGCTTTGGCGAGACCACGCCTTCACGATCAATTAATCCCGAATCAGGTCAGATTCGAGTATGCCTACAACAATGAGACAGTGGCTTTCATGAAATCTCTAGGTCACAATGTGACATGGGTTGCTCCAGGAGACAGCACCGCGCAGGCAATCCGGGTATTACCGAACGGAACATTCGATGCCGCTGGGGAGCCTAGGCAACTTGACTCTGGCGGTTTCGCAGTCTGAGGACTATTCCCTAACTGCAGCTATATACGGTCTACAGGCTAGCTGCTACCACGGATACAAGGATATATTGAACATACTTTCGGACATATTATCAGCATCTACTTTTGTCGATATGGGAACCTGACGAGATATTTGAAGATATAGATAGAATGTTCCTCTAATGCGAATACAGATATAAAGATCTATTCTCTGGATGTTCTTTAGATTACGCCGACTCCCCGCCAGTCGTAGGCTGGTCACTTTTCCCCTAACATGACCCTGAGATATAATTGTAGGCAGCTGAAGTAAAGCGAAAGCAACACATACTTCGGCTATACTAGTGTAGGTAACAACATCGATCTATAATAGAACCTAAAGGTGCACATCAACTTGATAATAATTGAACAAATAGGACATAGATCCGGATGCTGATTAAACAACTACTTGACTATGAGAACATGAACATAAGCTTATTATCCCTGTTACCACTTCAGGTTGTATGATTAATATCCAGCTGGTCCGTGCGCGCGCATCAGGATCTCCGCGTCTCGCGTTTCCTATCAGCGAAGCTCTGTTCGCTCATTTCTTCCGTACTTAGGAAGTAACGACTGAGATTATTGGCTTACACACACTTAATTACTAGCATACCAATTATTATACTTCGCTGATCTAATAAATAAAGCCAACTGTGTGTTCCCCGCTAATTCATCCTACAATTCTCGGCACCGGGATCATGGTGGAGCTCTAGTTCGCGCATAGCAGCGAGGATTTCCAACTTTCGATTATGACAGGCATACACACAATCTCCCCTCCAACAGTGAATATACCTCGGGACTATTCACCGAAAGCGAACCCCACTAACACCACAACGATTGTGTTAATCGTTTGACCACTGCCGCCACTTTCTTCTATCCTGAGCATGCCCGACCCTAGTACATCGTCCTGCCACCAGTCGACCGGATGAATAACATAATAAAGCGGATCGTTTCCCTGTTCTCTGTCAAAGAACCCCAAAGGGACGTTCCTCCAGCGGAGCACAACGAGACCCCCGATCAGTCTCCGACTATGGTCCGTCCCAAGCCTGTCTCCGTCGTTGTCTCTCCTCCCGCCTTCGATCTCGATTCCTATGAACCCTTCGACGAAGATTACTTCCAACGCACGGTTGATGAGATTCTCTCCGATGAGGCTAGTTTTGAGAATAGCTTTGATGAATATCACGGCGCTAAGATGATGGATGGGACCTGTGATTGGGGGACTAGCATGGCGGGGGATTCTGGTCCTGGGAGTTCGGGGTCTAAGGTGTCGTCTTATTTTCCGAGTAAGCTGGCTAGGAAGAGGCCTGTCGCGCATAGGGTTATTCGGAAGATTGAGAGCACAGATGATGAAGATAACTCGGAGGAGAGTGAGGAGATCCTGATTTCGGAAGAGGCTGAGCGGGTTCATGATGGCCAGAGTGGGGGCAAAGTGATCAAACGGGCGGATCCTGCTGATTCTGTCGCTAAGATTAAGCTTGAGGAACTTGAAAAACGTGGGCTCGGGGATGAGGGTGTTCGTGCTCCAAAGGAAGAGGCCGAGTCTGCTGCTCAGGCTTCTTCTGTGATTGGTGTCGATGCCTGCGATGATGAGGATCTCCAGGAAGTCTCAGAGGAGAGATTTGTTTTTGCTTCTGTTTCGGAGGAGGAACATGACCGTCTTGTTGAGTTCCTTCTTGATCATCCTTTCATGCGCGAAGGTGCGTATCCGGTGAGACGGTCTGCGCGGCGCAGGTTCGTAAACGATGTGCGACGAGAGGCTTCTATCTCTGGCATGGATGGAAGTGCCCTTGGAGTACTCATAAAGTGGATCAAGAAGACATATCTCGAAGTTTGCATGGTTCCCGACGCTGACAAGGAAGGATCGGAGTTCGGTGACGAGATTGATGATGAGAAGACGGCTGAACATCGGTCACAAAGAGAGTTGAAGAAAGAACGGAAGAGGAAGAGGACTAGTATTGATCAGGCAAGGGGAGAGACCAAGACAAAGAAGACGAAGAGATCTGACATTCCGATGATCCCTAGCAAACACGACGTCCGAGAGGCCATAAATATTGATAGCGACGATTCTGCGATTGCGATCTCTAAGTCCACCTCCGCAAACACCCAAGTTTTAGAAAAGAACCCAGCTCCCCAGACTGATCTCCAACGCGCACCTACCTCCCATCGAGTGAACCATGGGGATGTACAAGTTGGAAGAGAGATAATTGAACATGTTACTCCCCTAACACCAACCACACCTTCAATACAGAAGAAGCGCAATGAACAGAGCATCTCGCACAAGAAGCCATCACCGCCAATGCCTCGACATTATAATTCCACCCCTAACAATGATGTCAAAAGCAACGAGGGAAATCTACGAGTATCCCAAGAGCGCATTTTGCGGAACGACTCGCCTAAAAAACCTACCGTCTCTTCTGATACAGACCTCCCGAGCTCATATTCGAAAAATCCGAAATCGCCAAGTAACTTACTGAATATCGCTGAAAGCCGCAGGAAGAAGAAGAAGCGCGAAAAGAACAAAAAACGGCGACAGCTCCGGAAAGAGAGAATAAGGTCTGAGACGATGTCTGAGATTAGCCAGCTTTCCCGAAAAGGTGATCAACATGCCACTGCCACTCGTATGGGAGGTACCGTACCACAGGAGCACTCAGCGGAGAGCACTTCGTCTCTACACAAGGCAGTGGCCATGGATGACCCATTTTGGGATATGGATTTTTAAAGCCCAATGATTCGCAGGGGTTGACCGCCTGCGCTGAGGTGAGGTCGAAGTATTTTAGGAAACCATCAAGGCAGACAAAGTTGCCGAAGCATTCAATACCTGAAGAAACGCTCCTGATTTTGAAGGAGTTGGGACTGCCACCCGACATCCTTTCGTCCGACTCTGATTTGAGTGATGTACCTGATGAAACCACTTCTATTAACGATAACGCCTTCTTGTCACATCCCACACTACGTATACCACCCCCAAGAGATCATATTGCGGAGAGGTCCACGGAGCCTCCCAGGACTCCGGTCAATGGTGTATCTCCAGTTAGATCCTACATCGATCTTCCAAAACCAGTCCTTACCAGACCCGCCAAAGTATCGCCCTACTTTCCCCAGCCGCTTGTGGATCCTGAATCATGCATGCCTTTTCCTCCTATTGATGCTGACGCATTCGGGTTGGTTCAAGAGCAGCTTGCAGATGATCCGTTCCGCCTGCTTATCGCGACTATATTTCTAAACAGAACTCGAGGAGGGGTTGCCCTTCCCGTCTTGTTCAAGGTTTTTGAGCGATTTCCCACTGTCGAAGCAATGGCTTCAGCGAACGTATGTGACCTTGTGGATATGATACACTGTCTTGGGTTCCAGAATCAGCGGACAAGGAAGTGTATTAGTCTAGCGCAGATGTGGATGTCTCACCCACCAAAAAAGATGAAAGATATCGCAAACTCCACTACCCCTGCAAATTAGACGGACGGGATGTCCGACCACAAGAGTGTATTGATGATGCAGACCCCCGCGTGGCCTGGGAGGTCGCACATCTGCCCGGGGTGGGGGCTTATTCACTGGATAGCTGGCGAATCTTCTGCCGAGATGAGTTGCGAGGCCTAGCCAAGGATTGGAAAGGGTCGGGTGCAGCTACGGCCGACTTTGTTCCAGAGTGGAAATCAGTTCTGCCACATGATAAAGAGCTGCGGGCATATCTGACGTGGATGTGGCTTAAGGAGGGTTGGGTATGGGATCGTCAGACGGGACATAAAACGCGAGCTAGTGAGAAGATGATGCGAGCTGCACGCCGCGGCGGAGTGGCTCTTGAAGAGAATGGGAATTGGATACTGGAGACCTCGCCAGTGAAAAAAGCTGCGAATGGTCTGACTACGTGGGATTAGGCATTGGCGGATTGCATGTGCATGGAGTTGGTTCACGAGTTGGACATTTCTCGGATCGTTGTTTTAGGAAAGACCTTATTCGGATATGAAATATGATACCCTTAATTGCCTATGTCGATAGATAGTCCAAGAAGTGTAGCTACTCAGCACTATAATTGTCTTGTTGCGGCCTAAGGCAAGCGACCATCTATCTGCCTTAGGCACTCGGTATGGCATCTCCAGAAACATCGACAAGGCAACTTTTCTCGACATGAGACTGAATACTTACTCCCTTTTCCCCATCACAACTATCCTTCTAGAGCTTGATGTGCCCCTTGGACTAAGATGGATTTGCCCTCTCCCAGTTAGTTCCCGTCAATTGATCGGCTCGACTTTGGGCTTCCACGCAGCAGGCCCACCACGTCAGACTCACTAAAGACGAGCCAGCCCTGCGGGGAAGTCCAACCTCTTACTCTTCACCGCAAAAGTAAGGCTGGTGCTTCCCAGTTCTTTCTCTTTATGCACCGTTCCTGAATGTCTTCTCGATCTTTCTCGATCCTTTGTGCGACCTAGCCTTATCTATCAATCCTTCACTTGTCGATTCTTATTTCTTTTTTTAGATCGTCTTCGCGCGACGGGATGTCGCATGCCCCTCGACCGGTTTTTTCCCTGGAGTGACTCAAACGCCGTGTGATTGGCATTCGACCAGTGAGACGCGCATTCCTGGACGCACTCTTAAGCGCCAGACGAGACAACCTTCTACTAGAGTGTTACTGCCTACATAACACAGCCTATTGATCGGCTTCGGATCAATCGATCAATCACCTGAGCGATCGCCAACCCTCCGCCGTGACACACTTCCGAGAGGCCTTCAGAGAGTTAACTTCTCAGCCTCTTATTCCTTCTATTTTGATTTAATCTACGAGGTAACTAGACGATTAGCGGGGAAGAAAGACTGCAAGGGGGGGCAAGTGGTTCAATCTTCAGGAAGAAAATCACGACGACACTACCTCTGCCTTTCCACCAATTCCCTCCTCCCCCTCCACCTCACTCGAGCCCATTCATCCCACGTCATGTTTCTACCCATAAGGCTAAATGACCGAGATCGCGACAGGGACCGAGAGCGAAAAGTATCGTCGTCCTCCACCATCTCTTCCAAAACAAAATCTAAACCTCGCTCGTCCCACGGTCGGTCCAACCGCTCTTCAACCAAGGAACACGATCGAGACGCCCCGACGGCCCGCTCCTCGACCCCTACGACCGCCAGCTCCCGCAAACAGCGTCGGTCCTCCATGCCGGGCGTCGACAGTGCCAGCCGTCCTGTCACGGCTTCTTTCCTCGAGTCGAGGACCAGCTTGCCATATCCTACTTTCTCCAAAGCCCATAGTCGAGAATCTGTGGTCCAGCCGGACCTTCCTACCCCAGACCCGACCGACCTGACGGAAGAAAATAAAGAAGGGGGAAAGCGACATAGTCAACACCGTACCGATAATCATCATGCACCGCCTAGCCCACCGCTGACCAGTGTCGATCAGAATTCACGAAAAGGAAGCACGGTCGGAGACAAGGAAGATAAAGAGAAACCAAAAGATGGGAAGGCTAAGATTCGGATCAGAGCTGAGTCGACCAGGTCGTCATCGAGTCTGCGCTCGAAAAGGGACGATGAGTCTAGAACAAGCAAAACGTTCCGTGCAGACACTCCATCCTCCAAAACGAAACGGTCTAGTCACGATAAGGACATTCCCGCCCGGACAGCGAGTCGCAACTCTACGAAATCGAGAATCGTCGAAGAAGGCCCACTGCCCAAACGATCCTCATCCAGTCGTGCCGCCCCGGTAGTGTCTCCCCCTCGATCCCCTGCGACCGTTCGCGATGTCGGCTCTGAATCGGCCAACGGGTCAGATGCGACCATTGCTGCACAACAACAGTCGTCTTCTCGCAAGCCGAAGAGCCCAGAGAAACCGCCTTCTCGGGCCCAGACACGGTCATCCATGTCCCAGCGGCCCAGTAGCCGCACGTCGGCCGATTTCGCTTTTGAGTATGGTCGACCTCCCACATCGAACTCAGCCTACGGCACCCCTCCTCCGCCACCTCCTCCGCCAGAGATGCCCGTTACCATCCCTCGAGTTGATTATCTGCTGCAGAACGGTGGGCTTGACCATCGAGTGCCAAAGGCCCTTCTGCTCGCCACTGGTACTCCGGAGCTACCGCCCTACCAACCGTTTCAGCCTCAGCTTGCAGCGTCGAAGATCTTTGACCCATTCAGCCGTATACTTGAGGATTATCACAAAGTGATGTCTAAGAATGGCTCGCTGGCAGTCGCCACAGGATATCGATCGGTCGCACGCCGGCTGCTTGACCGACTTGAGGCTGTCTTTGCCCGTGACATCTCATCAGAATCATGTAATTGCTTGATGTGTGCTCATGAGGAGCTCGAGCCGGAAGAACATCCGTCAGGGGTCAGCTGGGGTGAGGTGCTGGAGTTGGTGTCTGGTCGCCAAGAGCTACCCAACTGGCCACCCTTCATGCTGTCGCCGTCGGTCAACGATGCGGACCTGTCAGGTGATGAACACATTCCCATGCAGAAGATGGACATCGACATTCCAGAGGAGTACCGAGAGCACTTCATGCGACAGTCGCGCAAGACGAAAGTGACCGTAGACAAATGGCTTAGTGAGCAAGTCAGCCAGGCCACCAACGCACCGGATGAGGTAGATGATGAAACCCTCACCTTCGCCATCCTGACACACCTTGGGCCTGAACAGCGTCCTTTATTCCGCGCGCTGCTGGGAATTCCGGCTGGCTCCCCTACCCCCCAACCAGACGGAAAGCGTCCGCCACGACCTTCGGCATTGATATCGTCATCTCTAGCTATACAGCGTCTCTATCGACTGCAATCCCTGCCTCGGGACCCGGAGGCTGCTATCTACATGTTGAATCACCCGGAACTCCACCACGTACTTGCGACTCTCGCGGCCATTAGTGATGACGAATGGGAAATTCTGATCTCAGGTCGCTTTGATGGATTCCTCCGCAGTGGTGCAGAGGATTCCTTTGCGGGGTCCACACCGCAACGATGGAGCAGCAGCCGATCAAATACTCCTTTCACCACAGGTGGCATTTCTCGAGGTCCGACGCCCAGTCAAATGGATCCCAACTCCCGACCAGCCAGTCAGCCGTACGGCAGGGTTACATCACCAGCGAACTTTGGAGGCCCCATCGCCTTGGATGAGGAGATGGAAATTGCAGCTTTAGCCGAAATTGAGCGTGACATCTATCTCGGGATGGAAGCTCTCGAGGATGCCTTCGAGGCACTCCATTGCAAAGCGGAGGTCGTCCGTCGAGCTCTTCGAGAGCGCGGTGCTGGCTTGTCTGTGGCCAACCAGCAACGCCGCGGGTCATATGTCGAGGCTCGTCTAGGCACGCCAGCATCTGGGCTGGGCACATGGGAAGACAGTACCGAAGACGACGGTTTGGATGATGACCGGTCTTTGGCCCCCGATGACTCGGCTAGCAACATCAGTTCCAACCGCAGACGGCGACCCAAGCGCCGCACTGAACGACGGACCCCAGCCCCAGTCGAAGAGGAAGACGAAGAACAAGACACATACGACAGCCGACGAGATCGAGGCTCCAAACGGAGATAATCTTGAACCTCCCCCCAAAAAACAAACCCCCTCATTGTCTATTTTGAGCTCATCAATAATCTCTTGTTACCACCCATTGCATGATCTTTTTTTTTCTCATCATTATTAAATACTTCCAGCGTTACGACCTTGATGAGCAATAGTTGAACCACGAATGCACGAAACGTGATGAAATGAATTGAAGCCCAGCTCACGAGAATCCCTTGATCTATTGAATGACTACGTGTGAAGTCGCAGTACAGAACCCCTTGGTGTATGTATGTACATTGGTACATCGGTACAGATTGACATGATTCTTAATGCTACTGTATTCTACTTTCCCCTTTCCATCACCAGCGCACATTGGTACTAGCTTAGCATCCAGCAAAGATAGAATATCTTCAGGAGAGAACACCAATAGACCAACCCACCCAACAATCCCAAACATGAGATAAAAAACACATCGCACATCCCAATTAAACACTAGGAAATCCAGACATTCCCCCGAGACATCACCTTTAGCACACAGTACCGGATCGTAAACCCCAACTCACCCACTACCTCCTTCACTAGATAGAAATTTACATATCCACCCGATCCCAAAATCCAGTCAGTCATCCAGTTCCCTCATCCCCAACCCCAAGCATACGCAAACAAAAAAAAAAAAAAAAAAAAAGAAGAAGAAGGAACCCCATATTCCCCTACAGGCAGGTCAATTCACAATAGCAATTCCTAGAGCTACATTCCAACCTCCCCAGGCCCAAGCTCCCACCAACCCACCACAGAAGCAGCACAACAAAGAACACAAAGCACGTTCCCGAGGGTGGCCCCATGGTTGCAGGAGAGTCCAGCTCCCCGAATGCCATTGTCTCCACCCTCACATGTGTGGCTACCTACACGCTAGACCGAAAGAGTCAGGAAGGTGAGTCCTGGGGCTGGTGAATCCATTATTGTGTTCTGCTGAGTTGGAGACGTGTGTACTATGTACGGACACCACTAGACAATTAGATTGTCTGGGAGGAATCTATGACTCCAAGGCCCACAAGGGGAGGAAATTTGGATCGACGGTGCTGGGGTCTGGACTACATGTCGAGTTCATTCTCTGGGTGACAAGGTCTGGGTTATCATGTGTTTGGAGGCAGAAGGATGTATTTCGAGTGGGTGGATGGGGTTAAGAGGGGATGAGTCTTTTTCCCCCCCCCCTTTCTCTGATGTGTACTCTGGAGTCTGTACTCCGTATTTTGATCCTTCTGGTCACTAGGAGTGGATGGTGCCAAGACGGGGTGAGTCCTTTTTCTTTCTTAAGTGTCTGTCATTGTTGGGTGAGTTGGGGTTGTGATTGGTAGGCTGGGCAGGCGTAAGGTAGTATTCTGGAGGCAGGAGGAAAATAGTTTC